ATATATATATGCAATTCTATATATACTGTGCGTGTAGGTTTCCATTTAAAGGGAGGGCTCACAGCTTAGTATAAATCTAAGTAGATAACTGTACTTCCTGTTTGGCAACCAGTGTCAATACACACTCATATCATTACCAATTGGCGGAAGACCGCAATCAGTTAAGTAGTCTACCATCATCGTCATATACAAGAAACAGGCCTGCTCTCGTAGGCTGCTAAAATACTACAAGAGAACTGGCGCTTGCTGAACGCTTATCAGCTCCCTGTATATCTCATCTAACGCTCGACTCGATGCTCTATTCTAGTGGTTTAGAAAGATCTATTATGTGAACTACTGTACTGAAGGGTTTATCTGAGGACCTAGAGGTACGTACACACACAATTCTTGCTATGTACTAAATTGAGGAATGTCGGAAATTATAGAGGAATCGATTCGGAGTATATATTGACGTCATGATAATGGCACACATATGGCCAATCAAATGCCCTATAAAAGTAGAATATAGACAAAAAAAGGCGCAGTTATTTGTTCACATTTCACACTTGACTCTCTTGTGTGACACTTTTACAATAGTCTGGATCACCGATAGCTGTAAAAGCAGGTCAATGTCATACGGTCTTCACTATTTGGATATCCTTCAGCAAATTTCAGACTACCACTCCCCAGAATACCCACGCCTTGCCAATCCGCCATGATGACGCCATCGGGAAATTGTGAGACTTTCTGTCCTCCGAGCGGCAAAACCTGAAACACTTTCAGAGAGATCTAAATTTTCAACCTCCAAGAACTCAATATAAAGATGCGTGCTGGCCATCACATAAACTCATATTCACAGACACAATGCAAATCTTCACAATTGCTTGCGCTTCACTATTGGCTTGTGCTAGCACTGTCGCCGCTTCCACAGATGTATACGACAGATCGTGGTTCTAGTCTCTCAGCACTGAACGTAAAGCAAACTACGAGGGGGTTGCTCAAGATATCGACAATTTCTTAGGGGGAAATCCGGATTCAAGAACAAATGATCATTATTCAGGCTTCGAACCCCTTTTGCTTCGTACTGCATTCCATTCCTCCAGTAATTTCCGCAAAGATGGCACAGGAGGATCAAATGGAGGAACCATCCGTCATGGTAAAGAACTCCGGGGAGGAGGTAATGATTGCATCTTGGACGGAGTGAATGAAGATGTGTCATTTGCAGACGTAACAGCTATCGCAGGTGCTATTGCACTGGAGCATATGGACTTCCCCGCAATGCAGCACATTAAAATCAGAGGAGGAAGGCACGATTATTCTGAAAAGGCGGCCCACATTAAAAAAAGTGCCAGCCTAGGGCGTTAACCCTATCAAGATTTTCATGGAAGAATACGGTATGCCCGAGAAAGCACTGGTTGCCTTAATAGGAGGATCTCATAATTTCGGAGCTGCTCACCCAGATTGCAGTGGATATCGTGGCCGGAGCGGATGGCAAGCCAGATTCCTTCACTGATATTTTCCGAGACGATTGGGAGTGGTATATAATCAGCAACTTCGACGACCAAACATATACGCCAGAGAGAGTTGAGAAGCCTGGCTTCAATGGCAGTATCATTGGCATGTCCTCCGAGCCGAGTGCTGAGAAAAGTGGCGCAGGATTCACCGGGTGGAAAGTGCAGGCTATGCGCGGATGTGAGGTGATTGAGGGCAGCCACAAGGACACCGCCAATCCATGCAGGGACGACAAGGAAGGTTTTATTCGCATTCCTTCGGACTTCTACTTGATCGAAGATGATTCGCTCAGGGGACCCGCGGAAGACTTTGCTGACGATCACGAGTTGTTTACAGAGGAGTTCGCCAAGACCTTTAATCATGTGTTGCATTTGGGTATCGATCGATGTGGTGGCGACGATGGTGACAACAAGCGCGATGGGGAAGAAGTCTGCATGATTTCGAACGAAAACACTGATCAAGGAGTGTGTGTCATATCTGACGGAGTGCCGGACAACTCATCTGATCGAGTGTCGGACGACTCATCTGATCGAGTGTCGGACGACTCATCTGGTCGAGTGTCGGACGACTTATTTGACGAAGTGTCTGACAGCTGTGAAGATATCAAAACAATTGCTAAATTGGTCTATACGTTTAGTCAAGAGGAAATCGGAACAGGTTGTTCTAATATACAAAATGTTCTGGTACATGCTGGCGGCGGTGCTGTAGATTTACCGCGCGACTGTCGTGACGGGTATAGAAGAACTCTACTGGAAAAAAGTGGAAGCGTGCGATACAAAAGAACCTGAAATTGCTCAGGGCGAATGCACGGAACAAGAAGAGCGTGCCGAGCGTTATTGGAAGGTTTACGCGTCCCGCTACGACTGGAAGTGTCGAAACCTCAAAAAGATGACGAGAAAAGCGAATAGTGAAAGGCCTCATGATGATTGCGATGATGCATCACCTGGAGAAACACTACACTGAGTTCTCCGAACAGTGTAGAAGTGACTGTGACAGCCAATTGGAACGTGCCAACCGATACTTGAAGACATATGGAGAACGGTACAATTGGAGATGCAACAGAATCTCCACGATTGAGAGCAAAACTCTCGACAGGAAGCCCGACAATGAGTGCGATAACGTTTATGCCACCCATGTAGAATATCTACTTGAGGAGTCGGTACAAGAATGTGGACACTAAGAAAGCACAATGATAACATACATATCATGTATCCTGGCAAACACAGCCGGAGTGTGTATACCTGTGGTAAAACTAACATGGTTGTTCAATACAACGCAATATAATTGATCTTCCATGCATGAAGTACAACCGACAACTAACAACTAAAAAATAAATACTGATCACATCTAGTTTGTGTCTAATCGCTTTATTTGTTCTTATGTCATGCTAGAAAAGATGCAATCGTACTCCTATATAGATATTTCTATGTGAATATAAAATAAGTTATGTCATGCCAGAAAAGATGCAATCGTACTCCTATATAGATATTTCTATGTGAATATAAAATAAGAAGGTATCCATCATTTCTACGTACAAAGTAATTCTCAGTATTTCGATTAGAGAAGAAGCTACAATATAGGGGATCGAACTATTAATGTCCGAAGGACGCTGATTCATGTCTTTTCATACATAAGATGGTCGTTTTTACTGTAAGCGTTACTGTTTTTAAAATAGTTTTTTATAAATATATATGCAATTATGCACCATACTTCTAAAAATATGCCACAAATTATTTGTTAGGTTGCAGAGTTTTTACTATGAATGATTGGTCACTTTAACAGGTTAGGCGGAGAACAACACAACATGGGGTATGGACTATCCATCTTCTATTATTCGTACATGTAAATATACCAGGATCCTCTTTAGCATATGCACAGCGATACACATCAGCGCTACATGAGGCCATTATAGGATGGTGTACAAAACATTATAGAACACATTTTGATTAATTCATTCAAAATGGTTGTTAGAGGCTTTGTTTATATATCATTCTTTATAGCGCAGTGTATAGCACAACAATCACAACCATTCACCGGCCGTGGAGATAGCCCTCCAGTCAATGGTAGTGTAGAAATATGGACGAGTGTCTTCTTGCACCGGCTACTTGCTGTAGATCAAACTAACTACCTACACACTCATGTACTGTATATAATATTCAATTGGTATGACCCGCGTGTGCTGGAACAAGTGCAAAATGCCACAGCTGAACGCCCCGGTGACCTCTGTGGTTTCAAGTGTCAAACGGGCAGTACGCTGTGCTGTGATACAATCTGGCTGCCGGGGATCGATTTACAAAACGTATACGAGTAAGTGTGGTATTAGATCTCCGTTGATATGGGATTTCAAACTTTGGGAGGTGTGAGCTTTCAGTGCAATTTTTATTTGTTCAATCTTAGAAAGACATAGTCACAACGGATCAATAAAATTTCACACCCACCCACTTGACGAACACATACATGTGTATACACATAAACACGAATATATATATATATACAAACAAACACACACACACACACACACACACACACACACACACTACACACACACAC